TCAGTTATATTAAAAAAATATTTTTTTATTTTGAAAACATTATAAAATCAGTTTTATTACAAATACAAATTTAAATTATCCGAAAATAAAAATAAAAATTGTATACAAATACTGAAATACAAACGCAAATTTAAATTTTATTGTCGGACCCTATCTTGTTGAATGAAGGCTTCGACTTCTTCTTTGAACTGCGGTGGACCGGTAGGTGGAGGAGGCGGTGCAGGACGGTGGACGTTTGCCAAAGCAGCTGCTAAATCCGGGTTACTCACTGCAATAATGTCCATGAGACCTGTCAACGTCGAGAGTTGGGTTTGCATCGAGGTGTTGGTTGTCCGAAGATCCGCTTGTTCAGTCTTTAGCCGCTCAATCTTAGCATAAGTAGCGGTCAACTGCGCTACCAACTGCGGGTCAAAAGAACTCGGAGAGTAAGAATACCGAGCGGACGAAGAAACTACTGGGAAATCCCTGATGGATCCAACACCCATCGTCTGTCCTCTTTTTTTTTGTGCAATCTATAAAATGAGAATGTTGTACAATAAAAATGTTAAAATTGTAATAGAAAATAAGTTATAATATCATGTAGGAACCAAAAAATTACCTCCTCGTAAATTTTATCCAAATCTTCGAGACCCAATGTAGACTGGACAGAACTACCACCCGGAGCTAATTGTGTCTCTAGCTCTGCAAGTCATGCGTTGTAGTCGTTGAACGTTTGTTCCGCTTGAGCGGTAACAAACGTCCCATCCTTGCGTCGATGAGTTTTCTCCATCACTTTAATCATCGGAGGAAGGTCACCGCCTTTAGCCTGGTAAACAAAATTAAACATATATAAAAATAAAATAGAGTAAATATATATATAAAATACATAAATCAAATATTCTAGTAAACTAATTTAATTAAGATACTACCATATCCAGTCATATTGTGACGTATGATGATTGACCCGCACAATGCTTAGAAGATCCATCTCCTTCGGCTACCGGCGTAGGACGGGATGCAGAACACTTCTGTGAAATAACCACCAAACGGGGATCCTCCCAATACCATACTAAATCCGACCAAACATCGGGATCCATCCCAACTGCCTTCGCATCATCGCCTTTCTCGCCCAAACTTTCTTCCAATTACCGACGGTCCCGTTGAGACGCAATTTGGCATTCTGCTCGAAGGCCTCTCTGACTTCGTGTGTACGAAAATCATCTCAATGCCACTTTTGCTACAAAAAATACAAATAACATTATTAATATTTCT